CACAGGCGATCAGCAGATGCAGTTAATATATAAATGGACGCACGTTTTTTCCTTCCGTAGTAATTTTAATTTCAACTTCGCAACAAATGCCATCATAAAGGTTATGAACAAGAAGAACAATGTGGGGATAGGCAACAAGCGACAAGCAACACATTTTCCATCAAATCTGGCTCAATGTTATCGTTTGCACTCGTCTCGGGAAGCTGACAGTCTTCGTTTTTCAATCTATGTATAACTGCGGTTGAAAGACGGCTGTCTCCAGTTATTGAACTCAAAAAATACTGGTACAGGATGGAAAATGCCGTGAACAAACCCGAGAATATAGTTTGACGTCCACTCAGGGTCCGACGAAGCATTCGAATCCACTGGCGTCGAAGTGTTGATTTCTTGGACGAAAGAAATGTATGAAAAGTTACGCCATTCATCTCAGGATATTTCGCTATTTTTTTTTCTTTTTAAACGAACTCGAGGAATAGCCTGGGGCATTACAATACCAGTTAATCATTTTGACCAATTCTTGCAAAACGTTTGTAAGAAAAATAAGACTTCGGCAACAGTAACTACTAGTATATTGCTTGCAGCAGACACCGCTCAAATTTCAACCCCACCACGAACGTTGAACGGGCTGTCATCCGGGTACTTTGGGAACGCCCTCTATCGAATTTCGTGAGAAAACTAGTAACTCGGAAATTAGGAATTCCTGTGTATGTTGCATAAAAATAATTACACACTAGTATGCTGTTATGTACTCTATCACTCTCAATATTATAGTAAACTCATAGTAGTTGTCAACGAAGGGTGAAAATGTAAGGAAGATAAAACCGAATACACTGCATAGTGAATACTATTTTGAATGAAAGTAAACTTGTACTGCGTGCATGATTCGAACCAGTACTCGTGTCCGGCGCGGCATAAATGAATGGCAGCGAGCGCAGCAAAGGGCGCAACCATTGTCGTTTCACAAATTATGCACGCGAGACAGCTCATTCATAATAAAACATTTTCAGAATGTTGTTCAATGATAAGGCAATCGTTTTCTGGCAATGGACTGAAAATAGTTTTACTTCTGAATTGTGTTTCGAATCATTTTGATCAGCATGACATGAATCGTGCGTGGCGCCATTTAATTACTCCCGTTCAACTCGCGCGTGAACTAATACCTCACTTTCTGCAATTCAGGCGCTTCGATGTTCTTTGCTTACGTCAGTTTTATTTTTAGTGGGTCAATAAACTACTCTGATGTGCTTGCTCGCCGGGAGATAAAGAGGGGTACACTTCGCCCTGGAGGATATCGTTGTTTATTACAACTTTATTACGCCACAGTTCAATTGCACACATTTTGATAGAATCACTTTGAACATTAAAAAATAGTTGGATGATGTGTACAAATGTACATGAGTAAGAATGCTATACAACTGTCATTTTAATAATACTGAGGTCCACATCTCTCTGTAAATGTGCCGCAACTGAACAGTGGTGTCAATGGTGTGTGGAGCGCCAACTATAGTCGTAGATTCGATTTTTTTTTCAGTTCAAGTTATCGACTAGCAATGGAAAATAAGAATAATTATGTGTAATTATGTTTTTTCAACGATGTTCAGCCGATCTGTCACTAGAATAACGTATGTAACTATATATACATCCGAGGTGTATATACAGTCAGTAAAACATCGCACACATTGAAACTCATTGAAATAGATTACATCCGGGTACGATAATTGTTGCAGACCACCACCAAACTCGATAAAAATGATTGTTTCATTGAACGTAGAATAGCGCCAACACCGGCAAGTTAACGGCAATTTTAGGAATTGGGGTCATTTTTTGACGCCGCCGTGCAAAACGATGTTCATCGGCTGCTTCCCCCCGTCACGCTGGTATCATCACTTCTGGACATCGATAAACCAATCTATTTGCGACTTCATTTTCCTCAATATTCCCAACATTATATCTGCGTAGACGAGATTTTCGTCTTGATTCGTTCTCTTCTTGGTTCATATAACGTCTTATGTATAGATACATACACATAACGCCACATACTTCACTAAGGCCGAATGACGCCGTGACGAGTACAAACGAATACCCGTAATAATAGGTGTACCGGTGACCGTTAGAAGTTGGTTGGTCGCTGAGGGCGTCGTTTATACTACTGATGTATATGATAATTCCAACGAACAAAGAGAGACCTGTAAATATAATGTGAGACTCGTGAATAAAATCACTTTCCGCAACTGATTTTCATCGTCCATGACTTTTTTTTGAAAATTAGTCCGCTCCGATACAAAATTTTAACTGTATTTCCTTATTTGGGTTAACTATCTTCGATCACCGAAATGCATTATGGGAAAATGAAGCAAATTTAATATGAAATTTGCAAGTATCCCGGAAGTAACGTGACTGGTGCAGAAATACGCCTGCTTTGTCATGACAGAAAATACAACTATGTCGGTTTGCTGATACTCAATTGACCCTGAAGCACAATATCACGCGCCCCGGGGTGGTGGGGGGTTATTGATACATAGCTGGGTAGCGAGGGAGGTGTGAGCATATTTATACCTGGATAGTGGCAAAATCAAGACCCATATTTATACCAAAGTACCATTACTGCCATCACTGTTTATTCCAAATAAAACAGTTACCGCATTTGCTCTATTGGAAGAGCATCTTCAATAGAAGCACATGTACGCCAACAGTTGCATTGTATATTGATTTATTAAAAGATATATATGAAGCTGAGGCCGGGATCTGAGGTGGAGATATTCGCTCATATACGGACCCATAAGTATACCAAATCCGAAACATATTTCCGATATTTATACCTATTTTGACCAGAAACAAGACCTAAAATTCAAAAAACGAGACCCATTTCAGGGGCACGTCCCCATTAGGCAAGTTCTATGTATTGTCCCCCCCCCCCTCCGGATCACGCGTGCACGTTTACGTTACACTCCATGTCCGGTGTGCGCGCTAATGCGAACCGGCGTATCTTCGACTTCCGGGAAAGTGGTCTATAGGTACTAAACGTTAGAATTTATATATTTTACGTTCAAATGCGTAAGGTGGCGCTCTTCTTGAAATTTTACTTTTTCGTGTCTTCAATACCCTAATTTGTTATGGCTGTATTAGAATGTTAATCTTGGTTGTCCAATATTCTCATTAATAGTGATTTTAGTCACGTGATTTGTGACGAGTTTGTCGAGATAATATTATTTTCTCATCCATGAGAAATAGAACATATACATTTTCTACACTGCCGGAACTGCATTTATGAATTTTGTGTAATTTATGAGAAAACTTCAGTGCTAAGAAATTTCATGATTTGTTGCCATGCCAACTGATTTTATTATTTCTCGTAGTGGTTACAGTAATTCTTGAGAACTTTAAGTGTTCTAAATTTAATACAAAGTGGAATGCAAAACCAGACATACAATATATACTAGTATTCTGGCCACACAACAAATTGTGCCATTACATTTAAAGATGACATGTTTTAACAAATGTTTTTTATTGTACTTTTATTTATTTTATTTTATTTATTTTTTGTATTGTCGTGGCATACTTTTTGTTAGTCTGCAAAAAATGCCCGGGGTGGGGTGGGGGTACTCCAAGTCAGACCTGGTCCCCATACTGAAGTATGGCTTTTCAAAAAAGCCTCTAAACACGTACTTATTTTTGTGAAATTATACCCCATTTCAAGTGCAGAAACTTAAAATAGATACCCTATATAAATATTAAAATCATACTGTTTCCAAGTTGAGGTAACATTAATTCATAAGTTTCCCTTTTTCACACATTATTACTATATTCTAAGTTACATCCAGTTTAAACACGTACATGCGTACACGCGTCAAATAACACCCCTTTTACGCGTTCTTTTACTTCAGCTTGCTTACCATATTTTATTCAGAGGGACCCCCCCCCCCGGAAAAAAATGCAATATATATTTCGCTCAGCTGCACAATCTCGGTAGTTTGTGGAGACAAAAATACTTTTCAAGTCAAGATCATATAAATGTTGCTATGGCGACCAGACAATCTGATTTTCTGCCTAGCATATAGTAGCATCTTTATAAATAAGAAAAGTCATACCTATAGAAACTGACAATTCAGAAAACAAATTCAGCAAAAGTCACGTTAAAACTCAGAATACATGTACATGTATATCTTTTGCCAATACATACCGGAAGTGACGAACACAATACCGGCCACGAAAACCAGGTGTTTCTGTTCCGGTCTCTTTTGGGATGCAACGCCCAATGCAGTACCCACTATCATTAACAGCAGACTAACGCAGGGGAATGCAGCAGATGAACGAATTAAGCCTGTCGAATAAATAATAAACAGGTAATTAATTATATCGTTATGCCACATTTACCTTTGTAATACCTATTCAAATAATACGAGTTGAAAGGTCATTACCCAAAACGTTATTTTGAATAGGTACTAACACTAACAACTGTCCTTCTTTACGCGTAGGGGGGAGAATGCATAAAGCCACAGCATCGGTTTAATTTAGGTTTGCCTAATGTATTACGCTTATTCTCGTTTTCTCGTCGTGAAATCAGAATACTAAATATCGATAATTTATTTCTGTATAATAATGATATATTCTTACGTGCAACGGCTGTTGTTGTATCGGATGTAATCTCAGGATTTGGTGTAAAATATTCAATGATTCTACAGTCACCAACATTCTCACCTGCAATAACACGTTCGAAGAATATACGTCACAAGATATTATTTTCGTATTTTTCAAAATAAAAATAGTGAGGACAACTTTCGTTTCTGGCACTCAAATTTAGAATTATTATTTCAAAATGAAGGGGTAAAACTGCTCATATTAAATGTGACCGTCGCTTCTTGTAACTAGCAGTTGGAATACTAGCTAGTAAACTGTCGGTTCTCCACATGGTGCCAGTAATGTAAGCGCCCTCAACGACTAAAACAAATGTGCAGTATGGTGATGGTTCTAGCCAGCACTGTGTAACTGCTAATCTGTACTGGCTCGGAAGGTTGTAAATGATTGGCTAGTTTGAATTTGCATAACAATACGAGCCAGTGCAGATCAGCAGGGGCCTGTGTAATATGAAACGAATGTTGGACGTCAGAAAGGATTCTTAAAACAACATACCTCTCGTGTAGTTTAACATTCTGAATCAAATTACGACAGTCTTTATTGATGTATTTAAGTGAGCAGTGTTTAAAAATATTACAAAGCATAACAAGCATGAAAAAGAATTGAGTTTGAATAATAAATCGCTTTCTCGTAAAACACATGCTAACTATTTGTTTTGCATAAAGTTGCGAAAGAAAATATTCATGATTACAAATAAGATAAACATTAAGATATAACAAGTAATTGTACAGTGACCAAGAATCCCCACACGGCATATATGTATTTTAAGTATTTATTTATTTTTTTATGAATTCTTCGGATATGTTGGCAACCCTCTGTAACCTAAAGGATATGAACTCGTCATTACACAGCTTACTGGACACAAAGTCATTTTCTATAGTATTTGCGTAGTTCATTATGTTTCTTGCCATTTCAATTGCCATTTCAAGACTGTCCAATAAACTAAACCAAAATAATTGTGAACACACCCCACCCTATCTTAGTTCAAGTCTGATATGTTTTAATATTCATTAGAGTGGATGATACCTTGGCTACCGTAACTTGGCATAATGTGATTAGTATTACATACTTAACAGATGTGCCTGAGTGAAACATGCATAAAAACTACTCAAAATAAAAGATGAAATGGGATCTTGAGAGAAGTAGATGTTTATGAAAGGAGCGTGGGTCTCGGATTAATTACCCGTTTTTGTTACCATGAGCGAATTTCGTTCTGTATAATTCAATTTCCACGACTCGTCCTCCCTCTTCACAAAAAAACGATCTTGTTGGACGAACATAGAAAAGGTTATCTGTCTGTATTATATATATATATATATATATATATATATATATATATATATATATATATATATATATATATATATATATATATATATATATATATACTATGTATGTGGTATGGAAACACAGCGAAACATGTAACGTTGTTCTACAGAGAGTTAATGGAAATGCAAAAACGTGTCTGCTTTTCAACTCGGTTTATAATTAGCATTGGCCTCGAGTAATATTATTTTCAGGAAACACGGGTAGATATTTGGAAACAAAAATGACGAGATGTGGTAAGGGTGATAGAACATGTCAGATGCGTAATAAGAAGGTTGTTTTGTCGGTCATCGTTGAGGCACATGCACGAGTTAAAATCAACGCTCATTACAGGATGAATTTCATTGAGCACACAGTTGTAAATTCCATTGCAAACAAATCCCATCCTTTTAGTTTATTTTTAGATATGCAAATTAGTAAGGCTGCTAAAGTGAAGCTATATGCAAGACTGACTACAACGCACCTCAGACTTGTATTACTAGTCTGAAAACGCACTAAAGTTGGTAAGTAGTAACAAGCTTTTATTGGGGTGAATCATGTGTGTATAAGTAAAATATAGCGAACCATGGTTCTCAATCATTTCAGGCATGTGAATAATTACTAAAGAAGACGAAAACTAAATCGTATAAAGCATATAATGTATTATAGTGACCCATTCAATCATTACACTCGATGTCCACAGCGTACCAATTGCGATATGTAAATTTATTGTATAGGTTATCAGTTCATTGGCTACTCGTTACAAGCAACATGTTTAAATACAGGGAATGATAATCTTGGACATATGGAAATGCCTCTAAGAGAGTAAACTGTAAGTCTAGCAAACACTTGCAAGATTTTCAATAAAACACACTTAAACTGAAAACTCATCTTTATTTATTTTTATTATAAAACATCTGTATTTTTAGTGTTTTGGCATTTTTAGTATTTAAGTAATATTAAGCATATTATAAACACTTTTATAAATATTAATATATCCCATGATGGGATAGTCATGACATCACCTCATTCAGAATTTTCCCGAAAACTATTTGATTTGAAGCACTCAGAAAATAAAAACATCTACAATATTTCAACTTTAAATGCCGGACTGTAAACGTAAAAAGTGTAAATGCATAGATACATCTGTGTCCACGAGATAACTAAATTCCGTTCTTTCGAACTGTTTAATTTTGAAGCACTTGAGAAAACAAACATGCAAGTAATATTCCAACCTTATAACACTCGATGCAGTCTACGGTACGCATCTATAATATCAAGAATGCTTATTATTTAGTATTCTCGATAATAAACAGTTTTATATATAATCCTATGATTTTGCACATAAGTTCAGTGACAGATAAAATTCAACACACACCGAGTTGTTATCAATGCTCAAGATAATAAACTGGACGGCGAAGCGCTGGACAGGCGTTGATTTTCTAATTATTTTTTTTTTCATAGCTCTTATTCTATTGATGGAGCCTCAATGTTGAATTTCATTCAATGTGGTGATAACCACTCACCTGTCCCTCTAAGTCTATAATAATAGTATACATAACTATTTCACTATTATTTGAAAATGTCATGAATACAGTACACTATTAACACTAATATTGAACAATAATTTAGGTTGTTACTTGATTTGTGTTCACGATGTTGCATGTTCAAGTTACTGGTAACTTGTGTCGTGCGCATGCTCATTCAACGATGGGGGTTATACTACCGGGAGCACTTGAACAGGTGGCATGTTCGTCAAAAAAGTAACAATAACTTGAACTAAATGCATTTTAAATATTTTGAGGAAAGACAGAAACCTAAATTTATTCTAAATATTTGTTCACAGATTGAAGAGGAAATTAAATGCTTGATAAGATTGTTGGTTTTCCTCGTTTACTTTGCCAAAATAACTCTGGTTAGGTCAATAAACATACCACACTTTCCCACTTTAGAGGTGGTAAAAACAACCAAACCTAACCAAATGGAAATGTGTAGTACATAGACACAAATATATTAATAAATATCTGAAATAAATAATGTTTTTATTTTCAAGTGTCCATGATCATACTGGTATTGTTTCTGCAGCTTCACGAACAGTTTGTATTTTAGTAACCACTTCTTCAGCTGTACATCATTCGAGGACTTAATTAGTTTAAAAAACACACATAAATATTTGCTGTGATAAATGGTTGCTGTGTGTAAAGTGCTTGATTACACTTTACGTAATTCTACAGTCCATAAACACTGCAGTGTTTTCAAAGCGGGGACAAGCTTATAAGCACGTTAAATGTTTTACCCCCAAAACATTAAAAATGTTTTATTTTAAAACAGAAGTGTTGTAATATAAAACATTTGCGATTTTAAGGAAAACACTTTATGTGTTTAATCATAAAACACTTTAAGTGGGACAAAAGTGTGTCAAATTTTAAAACCGTTGAGTTAACAGTGTAGTTTCATCTACAGGGTTTCTCTACTGCTATAATGTTTAACGTAATTATGATTACCATTCATGGTACGTGAAGGTACTGCTACTATGTGTATTACATGTTACTACGTGGTTATATTGGTAATACAAGTGCCTTTGTAATCACGGTTATGACTAACTGCAGGGGTGTGTAACGATATAGATAATATTACCAGTCTGCTAATACGACCACACGTTGCAGTCGTATAGTTCAGGTTCGTCTACAATAAATTACCACATGCCCATATCTAAATATAAACGACGCTTTTACTGGTAAGCACAATTTGAGCACAGTCACGTGATATTTTATTAACTTAGTAGTATGAAGATTGCAGCGCTAAAATTATCTCATTCGGTTTACTATTCTGTGAGTTTATTTTGTGTTAAAGCAAACCACGTGTACTCTGTTTCTCACATTTTCTACTGCTACTATTGCTGAAACTCATTGTTTCAACTTTCCAGCCACGTTTCCTTCATGAACGCCACCAGCATAAATTACACTTTTATCACCATGTTTTAATAATAATCTTACAAAGATAAAGAAGTGAGATCCATCGTAAAATCGCGTTTCTTGTGCCCTCCCATAAAAAGACTAAACTAATAAGAAACAAATTAGTAAATGCAAAAGTTCCCGTTTCATGCAATTATACATAATTATCAAGAGAACTTGGTTTTATTTGTTTAAATATCCATATATTTTGTACTTATGGTGTTTTGGCTCGTCTTTCTTATCACAATACATTTTGTAAATGGGACAGCCATTATGTTAGCATGGGAATTAAGACTGACATCATTGAACCTTTGGGACAGCTATAGTCATACGCGTGAGAGTTAGGAAACACGTGCGTGTCAAACACAATGTTCTAATAACATCAGTATTTAAAAATAGCATGCGGTTCCAGGTGTGTTTATCAGACAATAAACAGTTTTACAGAAGTCTCGTGGTCAAAGTCACTTGCCATTTATTGATGGACAACATAACCCTTGCATTCTGACTGCTTTCACAACATTGGAACATTATCTAAAAGTACAATTTATGCCCACACTTCACGTACACAGGTTGTACTGATAAAAAAAGCTTTTAGCATCAAATTTAAATTCTAAATGGTTGCCACATAATTGCTTCATCTCCATTTTAAAACTAATTCTAAAAGCCACACTAGAATCCAATGTAGTTAGAAAGGAAATCACCTTTTTAACTACATCGACGCCGTATTTGATTATTTGGTTTATAACAGAACATAATGACACGTGTTTTGCAGACTGCCGAGATATTTCAAAATAACTACTATCAAAGCTAAAGGCGCCATCACATGTCATGTCGTGGTTTCAAAACTACCATTTCTAATGCTTAAAATAAAGTTGATGAGGTTAAAATTAATTACATTACATTTGAGTTTAACGTTGCACTGTTATCATTGTTACAGATTAAAATGTTTTGAAATTAAACTGCTGAATTGTTTTATATCTTGATTGGGACGTGGTAACGCAGCGCTATATTATTATTTGAGTAGAACAAATCATTCGAGATACGTGTTTTATGCCACTTTCTATAAAATAGTTGTAAATCGTTTACATGCAATAATTTAAGAAGATACCCAGGTCCAAGGTCATTTATTTTCAAACTTAAATTTCATAATAAGGATGGCATTTGACTATACACATGTTATATGTATTTAGTTAGCTCTAATTGTAAATCATGTAAATTTGTTTCTCTATATCTGTGAACATATTCTGATTTGTCTTGAAAATGTTGCAGACTTTCTGTTGTTATGACTTTGCTCGTGGTATGAAATCATAATGAAACTCCTTATTTTCCACAATTACACTTGCTTGAAAACATCTTGATCATATTATTATTTCAATGCAATGAAAATGAACCTATCGCAATGGGTGCTTAGTGTGACAATGTAATGAACTTTTGGTATTCACTTAAAAACACAGGGTTCACTGTTTACTGAGTAAACATGGTGGAACATCCTTCTAATATTGTCATTGATATTATAACATTACAGTTACAGTTGATTCTAGCAATTACATATTCATATATAATCCCACGATATTTTGTTATAGATTGACGTCAGTGGACACGTATGATCACCGTATCAATCTGAGCTTAACCTCGAACGACAAAATATGTGCATTTTTTATCAGACCTTATATGAAAACACTAGAATTGAATTGAATACTGACGCAAAGTCATGTTTTTATTCGTTTTCATTTACATTCAGATTGGCGTTATCGTATAGCTACATAATATCCTACTTATACTCGAATTAGTACGGTCCGCTTCTAATAATCCAGTCCGTATGAATGTCAAGTGTGGATCTATTTTATGGCAGACTGAGTACTAGTAGTACCCGCCGTGCAATATTCACTAGATAACATTTTCTGTATCTCTATTATATATGATAATGTAAAAATAAAACATATATGCAATACTCGTCACTAAAATTAATTATCACTTGGTGTCCGTTTAACTAACAACGGTGCTTCACCTGTCATATTATATTGTTTAATAGACGAAAATAGCGGCCAAGGTCCCGTTGAAAGCGAGAGAGTCACGTGACTCGTGTTTTGCCCGGCAAATAGTGTTCTATTCTCTCCACCACCTCGTATATTGTTCCAAACACCATATATATCAGACACCATGACGTCAGAGAATGAAGAACACTTTTCGAAGAAAAAAAAATCTTTTTTCTCAACGAGATCTCGGCGGTCAACTGCTTGTATAAGATATTTTCAGTCTCCAAATAACGTAACTGCCCATGCGTAGTCAGTCACAGTGTTTGGTAATAACTGAATGTTGACAATTGCAGTTTTATGTCAAAACGGACTTAAGTAACGGATTTAACGTATTATAAATAAATACGAATAACGTTTATTGTCGGTATTTACTCGGTGTATTATTTTGCATTGTGTTAGAATTATAGTACACTGGAAATTGACATAACGTCGCTAGTCAAGTACACGTGTCATTATCACAGAGCAATAAGAGTAATCTTACATGTCAATGTTTATATTACGATAAAAATGTTCAACAGTATTGAACAAGTCTGGTTTTAATGCCAGTAATTGTAATTTGACGATCTAATGTGACATTTTAAATCATGGATTAAAATAATAGGTTTAGATTATCCGTTGTCTAAGCTGTAGGAGATCCTCATTTATTATTACTTGTATAGAATATTGAGCTGTTTTATGGTTTTAGATTTCTTTCAAAATTATGGGAGTATCAGGTCTATTGCTACTGTCTGGTATATATTGGTGTGGATGGAGGCGTTATTGTCAGTGGATATTGATCAGAATTAACATACAAGGGAAGCATAACAGGTGGAATGAATGGAAGGCTGGGAATATGGTTCAGATAGCATAGGCATCAAACTATGACGATTAAAGCTCTTACCTGACAACGGACACAGCCTCCATAGACCAGAATGCATAGTGACTTCCACGACCATCGTCGTACCATTGAAGGTACTATATTCAGAGCGTTCCACGGAATAAAGCCAATGACTCGTTGCCACACCAGTGCTCAATAAACACAAACATGCTACATAGCCAGCAGTGGTCGAGATTACTAACATACGTTCACTACAACTAGGCATGGCGGCGAATTTAACACAGTCACACAATTATACACGATATTAAGAGTTAACAATCGCGCTGATTAGACGTCTTCAGGCCACTGCGCCGTGAAGCTTGGTGACGAATACACGTTCTTCATAAGGAATGAATTTGAAGTGGTCACTGTATAAACAATGTGCATGTATTATCGTGTGGGTCTGATTAAATCCCTAGGTGTATTCAGACAAACTGTGGATGCAAGGATCCAGTGTTGTCATGAACTCCTATTAGGATAATCCAATTACCATTTCGACATTTGAGCTATGCAATGCTATTAAGTAGAAGAGTCCAAATCAAGTGAGACTCCCCTGAGATAATCAAATGATTGATATTAGTAGCAAATATAGTACGACACTGTTATCGTGATCTCCAATGTTAGAATATATTCATAGAATCCATATATTTCAAATAAAAATGCGTGTGATTCAATTACACATATTGCCGGTGTGTTTCTACTGCAATCGAATGACATGTATCCAGATTTAAGACGACTGAGGTGAAGAAGTCGTTTTTACATTATGCCTTACAATGAACGGATTAAATATATAGATGCTATGCTTCATGAAGTCGCCAATAACAGACCAGGGACCAACTGTACAGTACAACACAATTAATTAGTAGTGAATACAGCTGGGAATGTCCATGCGATGAAATACTAGTACGTTAACACAAGGGAATGATATTAATTCGACTTGCAAATTTCAAAAAGTTCGTCTCGTACATATCTTGCAATATTATAGCTGCATTGGACATTGACTCCACTTAAATCTGAGAATTGTACGCGTTGATACTAAACGCGTGGGCCATTAACCATCTCTGGTAAAACCCCATTGAGTCAATTAATTAAAATATGTGTATAATATATACCTAAAATTATTGAGAGTTCTAATGATAACAAAAAATGTTTATACTACCGTAGATGTAACCTGCAACCTACAATGCATGAAGTCTGAGATGATCCGTATCCCTTTGGCATCAGTGCCTCGTCAAATAAATTTAATGCTATGTATCTATTATTTCTGCATTCCATTGCTAACTCTCCTGGGAACCTGTTTTCCACTGATGACGTCACTTTTCGATGACGTCGTCAGCATCGTCTGGCAGATGATGGGCTCGTAAGTACCTCGTACTTGTACACGCTTCAGTGGCGCCGATCTCAATCAAATAAATGTATACGAGATGTATAGCGTAAATAGTATTTTTGTAAATTACGTTACATGTTGCGTTACCTTGAATGTCCAGTCATTTAATATTGTCATATGGAATGAGGTCTGACACAGTTACAACAAATTATAAGATGAGTCATAATTAGTAGCATTCATTGTTCTTAATATTAAAACAAATGAGAGATATGCGAGATTTATTTTTAATTTTTGACAAATTGTTAACAATTAACACGTCTACTACTCGGGTTCTTCAACTTCGAATAAAATAGTAATGACACGTGCCAACGTAGTAAGTAGAAATTAAAAAAATACTTTTGATACAACTATACACTTTCAACGCATTCATTTCTTTATTATTAAACTCTCGGACATTATTATCATTCGATGTCGATGAGGGCGCACGCAGATAAGAATGGTTTAGGATTATATCTTCCACTGCGTTCCACTGGCAAGTTAATACTTTCGGAAATTCATAATTGTATTAGTGTCTCTGAATAATACGCTCCAAAACACAAGTTCTCTTATCGGTGAGTTAGCATACGTTATCTACCTTTCTTGTACGACTTTTATTAATATTTGAATGACGTGAATCATAACATAACTTTATATCTCTCACAATACGATTAAGAAATCGTCCTATCAACTCGTATCGTTATTATTACTATATTTTGTTAAGACATGTTAAACGCTAGCTAGGGTTTACAACGCGAATTATTAGAACCACGCATAGACTTATATGTAAATTACCAATTCAAGCAACTCTATTTTGCATTGGGTTATACAAACAAGTTGACAAACATCGCATACACTTACGATGGGAATGCCCTTAATTAACAAAGTGCTGTAACCGAATGATTCCAGCAGTATACGGGGCTCGCAGATGAGAGATTTGCTGTCTTAATGCGTCCCAGTGCATTAATTAATATATAATTAGTATACACACACATACATTATATTGACAGGTGGTGCTATGCAAAATGAATTATTTGTGTTGGCTACTGTAAAATACTGCTAATATAAATACTTGATCCATGGAATAATAATAATATAAAAGTAGTGCACACTCCTCGTTCTTAGCAACAAATACACTACATTTACAAGTAACCTGTAGAATGCTGTGTGGGTAATATTTTTATATTGATTTTTGTTGCATTTGCAGCAAATAGTTACCAAACAATGAAAGATCGATAGGATTGGATATACCCCACAGCTGGCTTCACATGCATAGTTCAAGACTGCCTAACCGGTGCTTATACCAGGATTTGGTCACAGCACCTAGGCGGTATGTGGTTCATTTTCCGAGTAATCGCAAGAAATTGACATGACAATAGAAATTCATTAAAGACTGCCACTCCCATGCAATTAACAGCGAGTGAAATTCCTGGGATTGAAACATATATTTTGAAGTCACTGATGTAGGCAACGAATAACTGCAAGTTG